CACCGAAACTGAGAGTCGTACTTGATCTGTGCGCCAGCGCGCACCGAAACTGAGGGCCATACTTGATCTGTGCGCCAGCGCGCACCGAAACTGAGAGCCGTATTTGATCTGTGCGCCAGCGCGCACCGAAACTGAGGGCCATACTTGATTTGTGCGCCAGCGCGCACCGAAACCGAGAGTCGTATCTGATCTGTGCGTCAGCGCGCACCGAAACTGAGGGTCGTATTTGACCTGTGTGCCAGCGCGCACCGAGACTGAGGGCTGTGTGCCACCGCGCGTCGAGACTGAGGGCCATATTTGATCAGTGCGCCAGTGCGCATCACTCTTGAGAGTCATATCCGAGTTTTGTCTGCAACTGTGCAACAATACTCACCACATTTGAGAGCCATATCCGAGTCTTTTGCTGTTTGCAATTTTGCTCAGTGTGCAAGCCACAGTAGAAGACCAAATCCGACTTATTGAAGCTTGCTAAGCGCGCATCCAGCTCGAGTGCTGTTTCTGAACAATGCCAGGGCCATTTCTGAACAGTGCTATTCGCAAAGAGCCATTTCTGAATAGTGTTGTTCGCAAGTGCTATTTCTGAACAGTGCTATTCGCAAAAAGCCATTTCTGAGTAGTGTTGTTCACTAGTACTATTTGTGAACAGTGCCATTTCTGAACAGCTCTATTCACAAAGAGCCATTTCTGAATAATGCTATTCGCAAGTGCAATTTTCTGAACAGTGCCATTTCGCAAGAGCTATTTCTGAGCATTGTGCTATTCATCAGGGCCATTTCTGAGCATTGCGCCTTCGTCAGGACCATTACTGAGCACCATGCTGTTTGCCAGGGCCATTTCTGAGCATCGTGCTATTTGCATCTGTGCGCAGTTGCGCACCGTGATTGAGAATCGTTTTGCTATTCGCATTTGTGCGCTGTTGTTGAGAACCATTTTGTTATTCTCAACCGTGCACTGTTGCGCACCATGAATGAGGGTCATTTTCTATTTTTCGTAACTGTGCGCTGTTGCATCATGTGTGATGATCATACATTACCAACTCCGAACCAGGGGTACCAGTGCTCGTTTCAACTGAGTACTTAGTCTGTATTTGATGACAATAGTGGTCAGACCCTAAGAGAAGGCCAAGTCTTGCGCGCAGTAATCACTTCATCCTGTTACAAGCAGTAGTATATTGACCCCAAGCAAAGATTGAATATTGAATATTATTTTTAAGAGCACGCTCGCGCGCGCCCAGATCAGATATTTATTTTCAGTGCGCGCCCGCACGCGCCTAGACCAGATAATACGCGCCCAAGCTTGAGAGTGCGCGCCCATGCGCGCCCAAGCTCGATATTGCTGTTAGAGTGCGCGCCCATGCGCGCCCAAGCTTGAGAGTGCACGCCCATATGCGCCCAAGCTCGATATTGCTGTTAGAGTGCGCGCCCATGCGCGCCCAAGCTTGAGAGTGCGCGCCAATGTGCGTCCAAGCTTGATATTGATGTTAGAGTGCGCGCCCATGCCCGCCCAAGCTTGAGAGTGCACGCCCATGCGCGCCCAAGCTTGGCATTGCAGTTAAAGTACGCGCCCATGCGTGCCCAAGCCTGGAATAGCAGTTAGAGTGCGCGCCCGTGTGCGCCCAGGCTGGATACTGTCGTTTGAGTGCGAGCCCATGTACTCCCGAGCATAGGATTGCTAGCTGGGATGATTTGCCCTCACGCTCCCGTTGATTTATTTCATTGCTGATCAGCAACACCTCATGCACGTGATATTTTCCCTCGCACGGGGAGCATTGACAGTTCAGTCCCTGCACAGGTGATTTGTGTCAGTTTGGCCCCAGTACATTCAGCATCTATGACTGGTCCCTGTGCATGAGATGTTTCATTGATCAGTTGTTGTTCAGTCGGGCCCTTCAGGTGGGCCTACTTGAGATCGTTGCTGTTCAGCCGGGCTCTTCAGGCGGGCCTACTTGAGATCGTTGCTGCTCAGCCGGGCCCTTCAGGCAGGCCTACTTGAGATCGTTGTTGTTCAGTCGGGCCCCTTCAGGCGGGCCTACTTGAGATTGTTGTCGTTTTCAGCCTGGCCCCTTCAGGCGGGCCCCTTCTTCTGAGATAGTTGTTGTTCAGGCGGGCCCATTCAGGCGGGCTTTATATTAAGTTGCTGTTCAGGCGGTCCCATTCAGGCGGGCCCTATATCGAGTTGCAGTTCAGTCAGGCCATTCAGACAGGCCTCCACATTGAGTTGTTGATTGCTATCCGGCCAGGTCTTGGAGGGAGTATCTGCATCAGTGAGAGTGTGCATTCCATCCAAGCTGGCCCGACATCGTGAGACTACCCCTAAGTGGGGTAGATTGATTGAGAGGTTCTGCTACAGACATGCGGGACATCAGAGTTTCACTATCAGGGCTAATGAGTCCTCGACTTCGAGACACACACTCGTGATCACCTACTCGGTGAAGGGGGCAGAGACGGGAGTGAAGGGCACCACATACGACAGGATTGCGGATTACATATTTCGCAGGGAGAGCTATTGGAGGGACAACTGGCTGCACGTGGCCTTTCCCCGAGTACCTTTGGCTCCTGGGGGTGTGCTCTTCGATTTTGACGGATGCAACCCCAAGCCCCTTAGTGAGTCTCGCAGCAAGGACAAGAGGCGGAAGGACGACCGGATTAGGAGAGAGATAGCCAGATATGGGGTCCCAATCACTACATGCGTCTAGAGATCAGAGACGGATGAGTCGGATTTGGAGCCCTGCTCTGTAAGTGACATTGATCTTGGCGATTATTTCGACTAGGACACTCACAGAGATTGAGTTTGTGGACAGTGACGGGAGCGCTGGAGGCCAGCGAGCGGAGACGTTGGAGGGCGACATTGAGGAGGATCGCACGTCTTCTTGCACGGTATCTTCTTGAGGGTGATTGACTCTTATATGTCAGACGACCCTAGACCTGAGACAATTATCGGTCCCCCAAGAGGGGAGGGTCCGGTCCCATGCCTCGGAGATGGCTATAGTTATTTGGTCGGGACAGACTTTGCTATGCAGGCTTATCGAAAGCCTCTTTACGGAGATCGCTTTCTTGAGGTTTCCTACATTTACTCTGGCGGGAGAGGACGTATAGAGATATTGATTGGAACTTCAGGCGACATCATTCTTGCGGAGGAGCTTTACCTTACGAGCGTCGCAGACGAGGAGATGGCCAGATGCATGGCCTATATCTGCAAGATTGATCCAGCAGCACCTCTCGAGATCAGCTATGTGGTTCCAGAGTCTATAGCCACACGAGTTCTCAATGACGAGGAGTCCCAGACGGCGACACTCACTCACGAGGGGGTACCGCTTATTATCATTGATTGAGGTTCTCTCTTTTCATTCACTATTGATGTATTATGACATTATTATTTTTTAGTGACTGAAGCCCTCCAATGGCTGCTCCCTGCATACTCTGTGTACTACTCTTCAGTCTCATTTCTCTGGTCATGCTCTTGCAGAGTCTGGTTTCTGGTCTTCTTATCTTGTCAGTGTCAATTGCTCTATGATGCATGAATGTTATTTTCCTCCTTATGACATACAGGTTACACTCAGGGCAGCTTGAAGGACTCCTGAATGATAGGGACTCCGTTGACCTTGGGTCTATCCTTTATACGGGGTCAGGTGCAGGCGATAAACCCGAACGCCTCACTCTAAGTCGTGTCGCCGCTGGCAGGAGGGATAACCCTGACTACTCGGCTGTATGACAAAGTGTGACTGCCTCTGAACACACCCTTATTTTTATACCTACCAAAAATCCTGCGTGACACCCTACCAGTCCTCCAACCCACTGAGCTCGATCCGGGGAAGGACATCTAACCCGACCCTTGAAGCAGTGAGGGCGCGACATCGCGCACCACGGTCTCCCGAGGATTATGTCGTGGTCCATTTCCTCCATTACGGTCATCCGCTGAAACGACCAGATCAATTCCCTGACCCCTGCCTTCACAACACACTTCGTGACGTACCCAGCGAACGGGATTTCCCCGCCAGCTCCCCGGATGCTCCCTGTTACTTCCTTGTTCACCGTACATCCCGTGATCGTTGCGAAATCTCTCCTTATGAGAGTGATTTCTGCTCCCCCGTCTACTAATGCGTCGGTATGATGACTTCCGATCTGAATTTTCAGTTTCTCTACGGGCAGCGCATGGAAGCTAAGCTTCGTCCCGGGTGGCGATCTGATGACTTCGCCGCCCTCTCGGTCGGGCAAGCTCAAACGAATGTTTGCAAAGGCCTTTTCGAGGTCCTCCAAGTCCCCGCGACTCCTCTGAAGGTTAGCCACTTCTTGCGGAGCTTCCTCCTCCCTCTCCCCTTCTGGTAATTCGGGGTTGTCGCCTAT